TGTCTCTGCCACACCCCCCGCCCAGGGCTCCCCCGCGCCTCTCTGGGGACCACAGAACACGTGTGTCAGCCGCCTCAGCTGTGAGGCCCCAGCCTCCACCCTCAGGGGTCCCAGGAGTCCAGGTCTCAGCTCTTACCTTGACATTGCAGGCCCTGCTTTCCAATGCCCCTGGAAGAGTCAAGGATCTAAGGTCAGTGCAAAGAGGGGTACCCGGGCCCACCCACCTTGCAAGACAGAGGTCTGCAGTTTCTCAATCTCACCCAGATGTCTGAGTCCCAGTTGTCTTCTCCAAGAACCCAAAATTTCTAGTCCCAGCTCCTTTTCCCTTGGACTCTAGAATCCAGCTTCTGGCCCCTCCTCCCTCAGACCCAAGAACCCAGGCGTCCCCGTTATTAACCCCAGGAGTGGGAGCTGCAGCCCCTCCCTGCTCAATCGCTTGGGGGTCAGTATGACATGACTGTTCCCAAGTCCCCTCCTTCTCCAGCCCTCTCCCCCAGCCCCCTTCCCTCACCAGATGAAGTCCGTACAGTGACTGCAGAAGGTTGGCTGCTTGAAGAAACGAGCGGTGAACTTGTGGCTCTTCACTTCGTGGACCACCTTCTGCCTCAGCGCCCCCTTTCTGCAAAACAGGGGTCGAGGTCCCCCCTCTGAGTCGCCTCCGCCAGGGCCCAGACCTGCCATGGCCCCAGGAATACAGCAGGGATCACGAGCTTGCCCTTTTTCTGAGGAAACAGGTGGACGGCGATAGGGGGACTCCGCAGACTCTGAGATAGGAAGAACAGGGGCAAGGCACCCAACGGTGCGCAGCGCAGGGCAGAAAGCAGCACCCCGGCACTGGCTGCACCGACGGGGGAGAAGGCGGGTGGGGTCAGAGAAGAAGGCTGGGGCATCGGAGGAGCCGCAGGCACGGGCGGCGGCGGGAGCTCCGCTCTCTGCACCTGCTGAAATGTAGAAGTCGGGGGTGGGGGAAGGCGTTGCCATGACGACCAAGGGGGCGGGGTTTCAGTTTAAAGGCGCTCCCCCTCCCCAGAACCCCCGGACAGATGCCCCTCCCTCTTCTCCACGTGCACACTCCCATTCCGCAAGCTCTATGCAAGGAGGGGACGTCCTCCAAGCCTTGTCCAACCTCTTTCTCCCAAATTCATTCCAGTCTGTCATCTTGGCCCCCACACTCATCTTCCTCCCCCACTCAGCCGTCTTGTCAGGATCTAGAATCTGGGGTAGACCTGTGTGTCTCTGGACATATTAATCTTTTAATAAAGAAACTTTGTCTTCAGTGCTGAGGACTTTCTGATGAACACGGAGGCCAGCGTCTCATGCTTCGGGCTCTATATGACTTCTTAGAGCCTCTGGCCTTGGTGCTATGCCTCCCTCTGGGTGTGTCTCTCCTCTCTCTGCTTTCTCACTCTTGTCTCTTTTCCTCTCTTTCTTCTCTCCTGTTTACTCTCTCCATTTCCCCCTCTCTGCTTCTTTCCTTTTCTTGCTCACGTCTCTCCTCATGCCCCACATGGTGTACTGGAATTGTTTTCGTTTCCACCTTCCTGCCTTTCCCGGTCTTTGCTAATCTGTGTTCATCTTTGCCAGTTCCGCGTTTCTCGATGTCCGTCACTCCCTGTTCTCCCTTTCTGTCACTAGGGGGCGCTCTCCCCGAATAGTCGCCTCGTCCCTTCTGTCCTTTTCTCTCTGACCCATTCAGTGTTTTCCCTTTTGGTCCTGTGACCCTCTTTATCTCTGCGTATCCATCCCATCCCTGTGACTCTGTCTCTAGTGGTCTCTTATCCATCCTTGTCTCCCGGTGACAGTCTCTGGGGGAATATCGACCCTTGTAGATGTCTCCTTGGGATTGTCTTTAGGGGGAGTCTCGACTCTCCTCGGTGACTCCCCGTGACTGTCCCCTCTTAGTCGTCTCTCCCTCCTCTGCCTCCCCGTGACACTGTCTCCGGGGTTCTCTCCACTGTGTCTCTCCATACGTCTCTCCATTTCTGAAGGTCTCTCCTTTATTCATATCTCCCTGTAACTCCATCTCTGACGGCTTGTCCCCTCCGTATCTCCCTATGACTATACCCGAGTGTGTCTTTCTTGGCTCTGGATCTCCCTATGACTCTGTTTTGGGTGTCTCTCGTGTTTCCCTGTGACTCTCCACCTTGTGGTGGGGGGGGGGAGTTCTTCCAACTCAGTCTTACTCTGGGATTTCCTACGCACACGCCCAGATTTCCTCTCCTGAGTCTTTCCCCAATCCCCCACCCCCCAGGTCACGCCCCACGATTCCAGCCCTCCTATGGGTCCATTCTGGCAGGAAGCCGTTCTAGGGAGCTCTGGCCCGCCAGAGGCTGTCAAGCTCAGTGCACTCTGGGACTTATAGTTGGGGCCCTCGTGTACGCTATTCTTGGGACGCAAAGGAGAACTACTCTTCCCGGCGTGCAATACGCGTCAGGCTGGCCGCTGAGGTGGCGCGGGTGTCTGTTCAGCACCACTTCTTCTTTGCGGTTTTGCTGAGGTCGGAATTCCAGAAGGTGCAGGGAAGGTGAAGGAATTAACGTCCATCCTCCAGCACCCTTCTCTTAACGCAGAGTTCCCTGGCCACCCCGCAAGCCTATAGGTGTCTGTGGTTCCCTGGGGCGACGGGTGAAGAGCGCTAGGAGTACAGCTTTTTCCTCTCTTGCTTTTCCGAGTTAATACAGCAGATCATCGGGTGCTACGGTTCTATTTTGCTTTTTTAAAATAAGGGCTTGCACACCTTTAATCCCAGACAGAGGCAGGAAGATCTCTATGACTGATACCAGCCTGATCTACATAGCAAGTTCCAGACCAGCCAGGGCTACACGATATCTGTCTGATAAATAAATGAATAAATAAATCTTTATGTATTTCTGGCTGGCTTCAAACTTGCTAGGTAATCGAAGATAAACAACGTCTGAGCTTCCTGCATTTGCCTCCCCAACAACTGGGTTTACAGGCATGTATCACCCGTGAGGTGGGGGAAGTGGTATTCAGGCGTTTGGAATTGATCCCGGGATCTTGTGTTTGCTCCGCAAGCACTCTAACTTGTGGTTGCGGTGCTCCGCACCACATCCCTCCAGCTGTTCTTTCTGGTATCTTCCAGAAGGTATTCTTGTCCGGGTTGCGGAGGGAGTGGATGTGACGCCTTCCTGAGAAGAGGACTTGATGTAGATACGTCTTGGTAGGCACTGAAGAAATAAGACTTCTCACCCCCTGAGTGCGTGTACTCGCTGGCTCTTCTCCCAAGTATTTCCTATTAGGTCTCAAACCTGGGGCAAATGGCTGAGGTGTCTATTTAACATATCAAAGCAGAACTGGCTGCCAGGTTCTCCCAGCATCCTTCAGTCCGAACGTGTTACAGAGTATGGCTGGTATACTTCACCCCCTACCCTAAACTCCAGCCCAGAGGCTGGGCTGCCCTTCCTCCAATTGCTCTCTCCTATATAACCCAGCCATTTTGGTTACCAGGCCCTTTTTGTCTACCCTTTACTCTCCTGGCCTTTGGTCTCCTAGCTGCCCCTCTCTCTTCTCTGCTGTCCTCACAGGGTCCACCTCAGAGTCACTCTAGACTCTCCCAGTCCCTGCCTCTGGCTATGCTCTCCCTTTTATCAATAATAAACCTCCTCCACCATATCTAGGAGCAGCCAAGTCCTTTCCTTCTATTTCTTTTCTTTTTTTTTTCCCATTCACTTCCAAACTGTGTAATGTTTTCCAAGTTGCTTTTGTGTGGGCACAGGTGCAAAACCGGATTGTATGATACTGAAATTACTGTGTGTGTGTGTGTGTGTGTGTGATCATGGGAGCCAAAGGGTATCAGTGGTTTTAATGTGAGCTATCTCTCCTGAAACTGTAGTTGTGAGCTGCTGATATGGGTACTATGAACTGGTCTCAAGCATTTCTAATTACAAAGTCACCTCTCCAGCCCCAGGACATTGTATTTCTGAACTGCCAAAGTGGTATTTTTCTTCCTGAATCTGTGTTGCTAGAGACAGGCCGGCCAGGGCCTTTGCACATGCTAAGTAAGTACTTTCCCTTAAGCTACTTGCTAAGCCATAGTGTCTTATATTTCTCAAGTACTCATGGGACTCTCCAGGGGAGAAATCACATTCACGTCTTTCCTAGTCAACCTTCCTGGTTTCTTCTTTTTAAGATTATAAAATGTATGTTCATGTGAGTGTAGTCATGGAGGCCAGAAAATGGTACCATCTGTCATTTCCTTCACTGCCTATTTGTCTAAGGCAGGAAGCCACAGTGACCCTCTGTGTCCCCGCCTTCACTGCGGGGGTGTGTTGCATGCATTTGTGGGGATGTTTAGCTTGTTTCTTGGGTACTGAGACCTGAACCCTGGTTCTCACACTGCCAAAGCATGTGCTTTTAACCAATGCCTGAGCGCTCGCTCTAGGCTCCCACTCCCCTGTTCTGAAGAATTAAGACTATTGGACTATGGTATACAGCTCAGTTGGTAAAATGCTTGCCCAGCATGTGCCGAAAGTTCTGAATTCACTGAATTCAGTCCCCAAAACTGCATAAACTGGGTGTGGTGGCTTATGCTTACATTCCCAGCACTGGAGGAGGTAGGACTTGGCTACATATTGAATTTGAGGCCAGCCTAGTCTACATGAGACCAGCTTAAAGGGGAGCGGGGCAGGGGAGGTTGGAGAGATGGCTGAGTGGGTCTCCTCCAGAGGACCTGGGTTCAATTCCCAGCACCCACATGGCAGCTCACAACTGTCTATAACTCCTGTTCTAGGGGACCCAATACCCTCACACAGACATGCATGCAGGCAAATCAACAATGTACATAAAATAAAAATAATAAATTATTTTTTAAAAGGTGGGAGAGAGACCCAGGCTCTGCCACTGTTTTCTGATGAGGCCAAGGTTGTCTTAGTCCCACCCCCCTTCTGTCATCAAACTTTAGAGTCTGAGTCTCACCCCTCTCTTGGAGTCCTTCCTTCCTCCCCATCCACCCACCCACCCTGAGATAAAGAAAGCATGAGTCTTTCTGTTATCTTTATATTGAGATTTTGTGTTTTTTTTTTAAAAAAAAGAACATTATGGATTTAAGGGGTGGGAAAGGATGGTTGACAGCAGGAGCTACAGAAACCCAAAGCTCCAGAAAATTAAAAAAAATAAAATATACATTTATACATTTTTTAATATATATATATATATATATACCAAGTAATGCATGTGAATCCCAGAGAAGCAGAAAGCAGCAGCAAGAAGCAACTAGCACATGAGGACCTGGGTTCATGTACAGCACACACAGGCCATTCCAATCCTGATAACCCCAAACTCACCCCCATCTCCAAGAAAAGATGTTTAAGAAGTTTCCCTGTTAAATGGGGCTACACAACTGGGGTATGATGGCACATCTGTAATCTCAGCACCCGGAGGGTGAGACGGAAAGACAAGGGTTCAAGGGAAGCCTCAGCTATACAGTTAAGTTTGAGACCAGCTTGGGCTACATTAAGAAAGTCTCCACAGTTATTTAAAAATAAATAAGTAAAACAAAAGAGCTTCTTAGTTGTTTGTTTTTGTCTTCATGTTCTGAAAAGGTGGATCATAATGCCGTTAAGGCTGGCAGAGGCCATTTCTTTTCTCATCCCTGCTAAAGCAGACCATGGTATTTTAACACTGAGGTAAGAGGGTCGCCAATACTGCCCCTCAGAAATACTTCAGAGTTGTCTTTAAGACCAGGTGGGTGGCTGGGCAGTGGTGGCACACACCTTTTACTCCGACCACTAGGAAGGCATGAGCAGGCAGATATCTCGAGTTAGAGGGCAGTCTGGTCTACAGAGCAAATTTAGGACACCCAAGGATACACAGAGAAACCCTGTCCAGAGAGGGGCAGGGAAGGGACAGAGACAAAGAGAGAGAGCGATACCATGTGGGTATTTCTGGTACATTTGTTTGTTTGTTTGAATAGCACGGAGAAAAATTTAGGAAAAGGTGTCCACCCATTGCTTCATCGAAGGGTAGCCTCTAGCCAATGGGCTTTCAGTAAGCCTGGTAAAAATAAAATCTAGAGCCAATTTGATACAAAGCTGGGTGACAGCTAGAGGCAGAGACACTGCATATTGGTGACTCCTGGCCACCGGGAATTGCTGACCTCCAGGATTTTGTTTGTTCAGGTTTGAACTTAAAGGACTGGTACACTATATGGCCTGCTTCCCAATCCCCTTAACATACACACACACACACACACACACACACACACACACACACACACACACATATACATACATACATACCAACTAAGGCACAGCTAAGGCAGGCAGGCAGGCATGCTTTGGCAATGAGGCCTGTAAAAAGGCCCATGGGGTGAAGAACTGCAAAGGAGTGTGGGTAACTGCAAAGGAGTGTGGGATGTGTGGGGCCAGCACCTTTGAGGGGTGTGGGAGAGAAAGCAAGAATTCTGAGGGCTCCCAAGAAAACAGGCAGGTGATAAAACCCACAGGAAAGACTACAGAGACAGAAAAATGAAAGAGGCAAGCTGTGCAGCCACAGCTCAAGGGTAGAAGAGGCATACCGGAAGAGGAAAGGTAAGAAAGGGAGGCAAAAGAAAACAGGGAATAGGGAAGAATATACATGCCCAACAGGGAAGAGGAAATGGGAGGGAGACAAGGGGAAAGTGGGACAGTACCAATCACCTGGGTAATCAGGTTGAAGAGGCTGCAAGGAGAGATGGGGAAGGGAGCCCCTTGTCAATCTTAGACCTTGACGAACACCAGACGAGTGGAGTACACCAGATCAGACACATACGCCAGCAGGTTGATACCTGTCAGGATGGCCACCGCCAGTCGTCGGTCCCAGAAACACACCGCGTTGGGTTGCATATAATTATAAGAACAGCTTGGATCCCCTGAACGGCGGGGATGGCCCTGATATCTCTGATCAAATTGGTAGAGGGGCCAGAGGACGATGGCAGTGGCGTAGAAGAGAACAGACAGTAAGGCCAGGCCTGACAGGAAGGTGGGGAAAGGGATGGGCAACATGTTGGTACAATCCCCCAAGTTGAGCAGGATGGTCACCCCTGCTAGTATGAAGCAGATGGCATAGACTGCCACACACCACTCCAGGGCTGGTTTATGCTGGTACAGGGCCGGCTCACTGAGGAAAGCAAAGATGACACAGGCTACAAAGGTCTCAAAAACTTTGAGCAGCCCTGGCACGGTAGCCATGTAGCCGGTGATCTCACCAGGCCTTGCACGAGTCCAGGCCACTTCAGTGGCATACGCCAAACAGGCAACGCACGAGAAGGTGGTGGCAGCAATGGCGTGGTCCCGGGAACGTCCGTGAGCTAGGAACTGCACGTAGGTCGTGGGATAGATGATGGAAGACGACAGGCAGAAGAGGGCCGCGTAGCAGGCAAAGGTGATGGGGAAGTTTCGCCACGACAGGGGGAAGCGGGCCTGGAGTCCGCCTAACTCCACTATCAGGATGATGAGGGTAACAGCAAAGCAGAAACACCAGGTGAACATGGCCCAGTTACCCATGGGCCCTGTCCAAGCATTCACACTGGCCACCAGCGAGAAAGCCACACAGGTGGATATGAGCTGGAGGAGGCGGAGGAGGCCCAGGGGCTGGGTCAGCGCCCGAGCGGACCCCACAGTGGTGGAGGATGATGACGTTGTAGTCGTGATGGTTGTACGGGTTACTGTTACCGGCATGGCTGAGAAAAAGAAAAGCATTTGGATAAGGTCTCACATACTGAGGAATCCGGGTACCCAGCCCTTCATCCGTTTTGGAAGAAATTACTTTGAATTCTGCAAAGGCTGTGTCTTAATATATGGAACTTGTCTATGAACTGTAAAAATGAGCCAGGCAGTGATGGCACACGCCTTTAATCCCAGCACTTGGGAGGCAGAGGCAGACAGATTTCTGAGTTCGAGGCCAGCCTGGTCTACAGAGTGAGTTCCAGGACAGCCAGGGCTACACAGAGAAACCCTGTCTCGAAAAATTAATTAATTAATTAATTAATTAATTAATTTAAAAAAATGAATTGGCCATCTAGGTTCTAGGCTCATCCTAGCCCTACCCATGAGAAACCTCAGAATCCAGACACCCAAAGCAATACTTGTTGCTTCCCTTCCCCAGGGAGTCAGCATCCTATCCACTGGAGGGTGTGTTGTCATGCTGGGAAACCTGAGCTGGATCCCTGGGACATACCTGGTGGAAAGAAAAACCAACTCCTGACCTCCACCACATGAGCACAGACTCACCCCAAACGTACACCCCCAACTGTGTATCCTGGAGCTGTGGCTCAGCTGGCAACATGCTTGTCTACCATTCAGGAAGCCCTAGATCTGAACCCTGCACTGTGTAAACCAAGTGCAGAAGCGCATGCAGTGATCTTAGACTTTGGGAGGCTACAGCAGGAAGGTTACTGTGAGATGGAGGCCCATCTTGGTTCTGTAATAAAGTCCAGGCTATCATGGGCTACAGAATGATGTTCGTTCTGCCTTTAACACAAACAAAATGAACAAAACCAGCCTGATCTACATAATGAGTTCCAGGATGGCCAAGGCTACTCAGAGAAACCCTGTTTTGTAACAAACAAACAACAAACAAACAACAACAAAACCACCCAGCAATAAAAGATATGGTCTAAGATCCAGCCTGTACTTCACTTCCTCCTGTATGTGAGGTAGAGCTTTTTACCCCAGGCCCTGTGAACAAAGTTCCCCCTTTTACCCACAGTAACTCAGTCATCTCTAACTTCTCCATAGCCAAGACTCCAACTTCCTCATACTTTATGCCCTGTGAAAAGATTTCTGTTATATAAGAGCACCCTGGACATGAGCGGCTCCTACCCATCCAATGTTCCAACATCCATTCCAACTCCCACATCTAACCAGAGTCCTTCTCACTCCTCTCCCAGAGATCTCTGAGCTGGAACACCAAGCTTTCTTTCTCCCCTCCCTCAAGCTTCACCCATCCCCCACCCCATCCTACCTCAGATCTGGAAAATCGAAGACAGCTCAGTTTCCTCTTTCTTATCGCTGCTGAGCTTATCACTTCCTCCCAGGACTCAGCTAACAGGTACCTCAAGTACAGAAAAACTCAACTACCACCATTCTCACTGAGTAGCCCAGCTCCCTCCACTGAAAGCTCTAGTTTCCAGGCCAGTCATGAAAGGCGCGATGCCAGGACAGGCCTCTCAGCCTTCTAGTGTACCATGTGACCCAGACACAGGATGTGAGTAGAGGGAATAACATCTTTTTTTTTCCCCCAATGCAAACCACACCTTCTGTCTCCTTGTCCTAGAGGCTCAGAACTAGGACCAGATGCCAGAGCCCTCCTCGGGATGCTGTCTGACCTCTCAGCTGATGCCCCTAAAGATACGAGAAGGTGGTTTCCGGATCCACCTTTTCTTATTACTATTGTCAGTTCTGTAGTTATTTCTTCTGAGTTGAACATCAGCTGCTGGAGGGAGGGGAGAGGCTCAAAGAACTCAAAAGCTATAGAGACTTGGGGCCAACCAGATGGCTCAGTGGGTAAAGAAACTGAGCTACTGATAAGCTGAGTTCAATTCCCAAGACCCACATGGTGGATAGAACTGAATTCTGCAAATTGTCCTCTGACCTCCATACACTTGCTATGGGGTACACACACACACGTGTGCACACACACACATTACATATTAGAAAAACCATAGAACTCCCAAGGCTCAGGAAACATACTCAGAAAGTTACAAGGCTGTGTTATGAGGCCCCCTCCCAAAGCTGAAGTAATATATGTGCAGCAAGCAACTAAGAGAGAGGGCAGGAAGGCTCTTCTGCCCAGCTACCTACATGTTTAGCAGTGTGACCCAGAAATGCATCTTTCGTCACCCATGCTGGGATGGGCATTTTGGTGATACCTATGCCCCTACAAGTATCTCCAGTTAACTCACTGGCTCACAGAGACGCACTTGGATTAACTTAGGTTTCTTTGATCTAGCATATTTATTTATTTATTTATTTATTTATTTATTTTTGTCTGTTTGTTTTGTTGTGGCTGTCCTGGAACTCAGGATGCAGACCAGGCTGGCCTCGAACTCATAGTGATCCGTCTGCCCCTGCCTTTGGAGTGCTGGAATTAAAGGTGCCTGTCACCACCGTGCAGCACTCCATCATTCTGCGCTCTGACACGAGCATAAAGTTAGCCATAACTTTCCCCCCAGGAAAAGTCATGCTAAGGTCGAGCCCATGGAAAGACAGAAGGGCATGCTTTAACCTCTGGAAGCTCATACTGTCCCAGAACAGCTCCCAAAGTACACAGGAGCCAGCTTCTGGATACAACTTCTTAGACAAGTGGATGCCTGATTCTATCCTTTGGAAAACTCGGAGGACACTTGTCTCTCGGAATCTAGGCACCATTCCCTTCCTTCCTCATACCTAGGGATCCGAGCTCTAGTACTTCCTCTCCTCCTGTAAATCCAACTCAGTATTCCTGGCTAAATTAGTTAACCCTCCCAGCCCTCCTATCAGACTCGGTTCAGTTTCCAGGCACTACGCTCCTAAACTGAGGGGTCCAGGCCCCTAGTGCACCTCCATCAGACGCAGAACAGGGCTCTAAACCCACCCCTCTTAGACTCCCAGTCTAAAATCCCAGTCCTCTTCCCTTAAAGGTGGACATCAGCCCCCCACCCCAAGTCCTTGACCCTCAGAACTGTAAGTCCAGACCGCAGGCGCTCCACTCTCAAGAGCTGGGAATTATAGGGCTCGGAGCACACTCACCTGCTGCCTTAATAGAGGACCGGAAGGAGAAAGTTTCGGCTGCGAAGGCGGATAGGGTTGCACACCTGAAAAAGGCAGATCAGAAGCCCTGGAGTGAGAGAGAGAGACAGTCAGAGCGGAATTCACAGTTCTCCCTTGCAGCACTCTGACCCCGGAGCCCTAGACTCCACAGCTGCGACGTGTCTCCCGGTGGGGACGCAGACTTGGCAGAGGTCCCGAGGCCAGGTCCCAGAGGTTGCCCTGAGGAAGCGCCGCCCCGCTCCTTCCTCTCCGAGAACTTGCTGCGTGGGTGGGGTGGAAGCAAATGTGGACAAAGGGCCCGCCCTCAGGCTCGCGAGGGGCGTGAGTGATGTCAACCTAGCCCGGGCTTTGCAGTCTGCAGAGGGAGATCCCTGGGCGGTGGTTGTAGAGGCGAGAGGCCCAGCCTGGCCCGGAGTCTCCGCTCCTTATAAGGACTTTGAGCTGCCTCAGCCAGGGCAGTGTGGCAGGGACCAGGAGGTGGTGCCAAGACCCCCACCGCCGAGAGAGTGGGGGTGAGGGAGGGAGGGGGGAGGGAAGGGAGGGGGCGGAGGGAAGGGAGGGGGCGGAGGGAAGGGAGGGAGGAAAGAAAGGAGGAAGGGAGACAGTTTGTGAGTTTGGAGCCAGGCAGAACGACTACCACAAGTTGTCCTCTGACCTCTATCCGTGCCCTGCGGTACATGCGTGCGTTCCTCACCCACTGCAAAAATATATATATAGTTTAATAAATCTATTTTGCGGGCTGGAGAAATGGCTCAGCGGTTAAGAGCACTGACTGCTCTTTCAGAGGTCCTGAGTTCAATTCCCAGCAACCACATGGTGGCTCACAACCATCTGTAATGGGATCTGATGCCCTCTTCTGGTGTGTCTGAAGACAGCTACAGAGTACTCGTAAAAATAAAACTAAATAATATTTTTAAAAATCTATTTTGAGATAAATATTTGCTATGTAAACCTCCCTGGCCTGGAACTTGCTATGTAGACCAAGGTGGTCTTGAGTTCACGGAGATCTCCGTGTCTCTGTCTCCCGAGTGCTGGGATTAAAGAAGAAAACTTTTTTGTTTGTTTGTTTTGGGTTTTTTTTTGTTTTTGTTTTTTTGAATTCTGAGTCCCTCCAAGAACAAAATGAGGAAAGTATGGCCTGGTAGTGCAGAACAGTATTTTCAAAACACCCGTAGAGGCAGGATTGGGGAGCCAGGATTGGAAATTCAAGGCCTTCCTGGGGTCAGTTACAGAGTTCAAGACTAGCCAAATCTCACCAAGGGGTCAAGGAGAGGAGGGAGAAGCTGGTGGCAGCCAGGTAAGTGGAGTATTTGATTAGCATGTGTGAGGTACTGGGTTCAACACCCTAATGGGTGGGGCTAAGGTTAGGGTGAGATTCTCCCGCTTATGACGAGCTCGGATTCCTTTAAGACTCCTTAAGTTTGACGGAGCTCGATCGAGGACACAAATCTTCTTGGCTTCAGGCTAGAATTCATGCTGGAGTTGGAAATTCTCCCTGGGAACTAGAAGCCTCCGGTGCACTTAGGAGTTGGGACAGAAAGGCAGAAACCTCCAGCTCCTACTGGGATCAGTTTTGGGGGAAGCCAGGCCTAGCCCGACTCCCCGCACTACAATAAGTGGGCCGCCGATCGCCTTTGATTCCAGCATTTAGGAGGAAGAGGCAGACAGATCTCTACAAGTTCAAGGCCAGCCAGTTCTACATAGTGAGTTCCAGGACTACAAAGGCTATACATAGAGCCTGTCTTTAAAAAAAAAAAAAAAATGCGGGTTACTGTCCTGCCACAGACACTAGAAGGAAGAGGGAGAAGCATAAATCCTTCTGTCCAGGAGAAAAGTTAGTTAGAAAAGGAGGAGTAACAGAAAGGAAGACTTTAGGAGAGGTAACGGAACCAGTGGTCCACAGGACCTCCAGCACCGTTTGAGGTCATAGCTCAGGAATGCTCAGCTAAAGACATAAGCAGGGTGAGGAAACGCCCCTAGAGCTTCCTCCTAGGTCTAGTTCCACTCTCAGGGCCACACCCAGCACCCCTGCTACCCTCCCCCATGCCACACTCCTGAGATCATCCATCACTCCACAGGCTGGGCACATGCTGGGCACAGCCCTGATCAGACTCCCGGCCACGCCTCACACCAGTGGTAGGCTGAGCCTTAAGCCCTCAAAGCTTCCTAGCTTACCCCCCCTCCACACACACACACAACTCTAGTGCCGGTTTGGGGCCTCTGGAAGGAGGGTCAGAACAAGGACTTTTCCCCTCCTGAGTACCTCTAGGAATCAAGTACAAGCATCCAGGAGCTCCATCTTCTCGGATTCAGGGATATATACTCCATCTTTCCAAGTCCTCAAACCAAGAGTCGAGATCCCAGCCCCTCCCTTTTTCCGTCCAAATTGAGACCCCAGTATCTTCTCTCTCAGAACAAACTCAGATTAAGGTCTGAATCCAGCCCTCCTTCCCCAAGACCCATCTTAAATCCAGATCCCAAGCCTTTTTGGTGAGACCTAGGAGTCTAGATCCCATCCTACATCTCTCAGCCTCAGGGGTCCGGACACCATCGTCCCTCCTCGGACCCACGTGCCCACTCCTCAGTCCCTTCTCTTTCCCATGTATGACCTGTATGAGCTCAGATGTTCAGCTTTTCATCTAGAGCTTGAGTCCTGGCCCAATTACAGTGTTTCTAGGGATCCAGACACCTGAATCCGTGCCCACTCCTCTTTCTAGACCCAAGGATCCTGGACCACTATTCCTTCCCTTCGAAGTTCCTGCAGCCTTACCTCTCCAGCCAGTGGCGTCTGCAGCACAAACAAGGACGACAGCTGCAGACCAAAAGGGTCTTAAGGCTGGGTGGAGTTGGCCAGCTGAGGAGCGCGGAGGGAGGGGGTTGAGGGCGGGGTTTGGGCCTGGCTAGGGCGGTGAAAAGGGTCTTTCCCTTCAATTCAAGCAATCCCTGGTAGGCCCCGAAGGCGGGGCTAATGTCACACCACGCCCCCCAAAAGACTAGTGTCCTGGATCTCCAGCCCTACCAGTGAGGGGGTGCAGGGCTGAGGTCATTGTTGCCATAGAGACAAAACAGGAAGACACAACAGCTGGAGAGGTGGGGTCTCCCGGGGGCTATCCTCCCTGTCGTAGCTCTAGAAAGAAATCTCCAGGGTAGACAGGGGAATGCCGTTGCCATAGAAACGTATGTGCTTATGGTTTGTTTTAGAGTTCCCCCATTAAGCCTAGTCCTCACGCCTAGTCTTACCTCTCATTCAATTCTCCCTCTCTCTGCCCCACGTCCTTGTCTATCAGCTCCCCCACGCCGACCAGAAAAAGGAAATCTTACATATCTAGGTCCCAGCAGTTTGGGGACTAGACCTCTGTTTAACGGAGTCTATGGGCCAGATACTTGTCTACCTGAAGAGGAACTTAGGAGTTTAGGGTGCCAGGCTTTGAGCTTTTAGGAGTTCTGAGCAAGCTACCTTGACTAGTGAGGCCCCACCTCCCAAAGGACAAAGACTAGATTACAGTGTTTAGGGGTCTGCGTAGAGGAGAAGGGGCCATATCTCCATTGACACTGTAATCGCGGCCTGAGGACCGCTGGGCCACGTCTCAGAAGATCACAACCAGGAGGAGCGAAAGGATGATGAATAGTATTTAAATTCCTGGAAATTTGGGGGAAGGGTCCCAGATTTCTGAGCGTTCAGACAGTTTTCAAAGCATACGTGTTTGGTTGGTTGCTGAACCGCCTGGATCTAGAAGGGCGCGCTATTTTTGGCCTGAATTCCTGCCCTCAGGACAAAGGGAGGGACTCTGAATCTTTATGAGGATGGGGCTAGGGCCGGGAGCTCTGGATTCTAGGTTCTACCATATGGGGAGGATTCGGTGGATCCCGTTGTGCCGAGAGGAGAGGGGCAAAAGCAGGAAAGAAATGCAGGGTTGGACTTTTTTTTTTTTTAAAGGTCGGATTTGAGGGCCTCAAAGGACTCGACTGAGCCAAATTGGAAAAGAAGCTCAAGGTCGCGACGCTGGAGGGACCTTTAGGAGAGACCTAAAGGTCGCAATGCAGGCCCCCTAGGCAGGGCGGAGACCCGGGACACCTAGTTCCCTCCCTCCTGGCTGCACTCACCCCGCTCTGCAGCGGTCCCGGGCGCGGCCCTGCTCTGCTGCTGCTGCTGGGCGGGGCCTGGTGGCGGCTGCTGCTGCTAGTCTCTTCCCCGCGGCTGCTTCTGGTCACCTTCCAGGAGGACTGAAGAGGCTTGTAGACCTAGCCCTAGAGAAGAAGCCAGGAACTTCGCGAAGGGAGGGGTCCGAAGGGGTCCAGGAGTTCACTACAGCCAGCTTCGTGTCCTACAGAGGAGGGAGGAGCTGGAGAGGGGACCTGGGCGCTTGCTTCGTGCTTTGCAGAAGTGGGGGTGGAGACTAAGGTAGGAATGGGTAGGCGAAGAGCTGTGTGCTCACTTTGCATGTCTGGGAAGAGACACAGAAACAGACCCTCTTTGTCATTTTATGCCCTGCAAAAGGGAGGGTTTTAGTTTAGTTTAAACACACACACACACATTCACTACACATCAACTTTATGTGTGGGAGTGCAACTATGGAAGTCAGAGGACAACTTGTGGGAGTCAGTTTTCTCCTCCCAGTGAAGGGGATCAAACTCAGGTCATCAGCTTTGGTTGGCTAGTACCTTTATCCACTTGAGCCATCTCATTGGCCTATGGATGGTATGGTTTTGGATTTTTCTTTAATTTTGTTTCAATTTGTTTTTTAAAAGACTTATTTGTTTTTATGTGTCTGAGTGTCTTGCCTTCAAGGATACATGTGTACCATGTACATACCTGGTCTCCTCAGAGGTCATAGGAAGGAATCAGATTCCCTAGAACTAAAGTTAAAAGTGGTTGTGACCCGGGCAGTCGTGGCGCACGCCTTTAATCCCAGCACTTGGGAGGCAGAGGCAGGTGGATTTCTGAGTTTGAGGCCAGCCTGGTCTACAGAGTGAGTTCCAGGACAGCCAGGGCTACACAGAGAAGCCCTGTCTCAAAAAAAAAAAAAAAAAAAAAAGTAGTTGTGAGCCACCTTGTAGGTGCTGGGAATCGAACCCTGGTCCCTCTACAAGAACAAATGCTCTTAACTGCTAAGGCATCTCTTCAGCCCCTGAGGAGGAGTTTTTAATATGCTATGGTAAGCACTGTATCACTAAGATCTTTCCTTAGCATCAGGCAGTACACACACACACACATACACACATACACAGAGGCTCACATAAGCCTAGCGTCTATAAATAATGGGTTAGGTTTCCCACAGCTTGTATTTACAAGCCTCCTTAGTCCCAAGAGTTCAAGCTTAGTAACATCTGTCTCCCCTCCACTCAAATCAGTCACACCACCATCACCATCACCGATACGGAGTTGGAGATATCTCAAGTGATCGATAGAAGTCTTGACTAACACAACTTACGATGCTCTGTCCTGTGGTGAAAGTATTTCCTGGGTAGGTACTGAGATGGCTCAGTGGGTCAAGCCAAGCTTAATGATTTGTCTTCCACATCTAGGACCAATTTGGTAGAGGTGAGAACTGATTCCCAAAAGTTTTCCTCTGACTGACACAGGTACATTGTGTCATGCAATGGCATGCATCTCACCACCAGCGCCACCACCACCACCATTACCACAATCACCGCCACCCAAACGTAAATGTAAAACAAGCAAAAATTGAAAAAAATTCAGGGTAGCATGAACAAGATACAAGCATCTGGAGTATGTAGGTGTGTGTTGCTGAAGACTGAATCTCCTGCCTCAAAACAAGCTAGGGTGAGCACTGTATCACTGAGAGCTTTCCCTAGCCCAGTTTTCAAACATTTGAAGAGTGAGTCACAGGGTGTAATTTTGGGGAAATGTAACCCTTGGTTTCCCAGGTCTGTGTAACCTATGATCGTGTATGTGCTACTGGTTCAGTGTTTACCCACCTTTTAAGACAGAACCCCCATCCAAATGTCCCAAACCCATCACTGTTACTCCCTGTCCAACAGGCTATGCTTGTGTTCTATGGGGCTAACTGCTTCGGAAGTATTCTCCAAACTCATACCAACTTCCAAATAAACTGAGTCCCTTGATCAGAAGCAGTCTTGTGTGGTTTAACACGGCAGTGAATGGTGAATAGAGCCATTCATTGTGCACACACAGGCTGCTTTTGGCAGGAGTGTAAAGGGCGAGGAAAGCAAATAACAAGTACAGAGTTACTTATTCCATGGAGGAAAAAGTTATTGCCCAACCCATGATGGAAGAGGTCCAATGTAATCCTCAGCAGACTGGGCATTTGGCTGGCCTTCCTAGGAAACTGGGCTTTCATGGGGGCTCAGCAAGTGTTGCTGCCATCAGCAAGGTGGACATTCATTGACAATGTGGCTGGCTAAGATTGGTGAGATGAATCCATCATGGTCCACCATAGTCGTTTTTGCTTAGGGGCTCACAGAGTAAGCCCTGAAATATCCAGAGAAGAGCTGACCAAGAGACACCAAGCAGCTATCTGGTCTACCATACAAGATAGTAGAAGTGATTACTGAAGAGTTAGTGAGATACAAACTACGAGGCGGCTTTCATTCCACAACTTCTACGCCTACTCTGTAAGTTTTATTTTCTATACTAACCATCGACTCTTTTTCTGTCTTCTGATTCAATGCAAAGAATATTTTTATGCTAGTGTGCGTGTGCTTGCATGAATTTATGTGCACTGCATGCATCTCTTAGAGGCCAGAAGGTAGTGTCAGATACCCTACATGTCGACGGATGGTTGTGAGCTATTGTACCGGTGCTAGGACCTGAACTCAGATTATCTAGAAGAGCAAGGTTTTGTTATCCCAGGCTGGCCTCAAACTCACAGAGATCCATCTTCCTCTGCCTCCCGAGTGCTGGGATTAAAGGAATCCCCAGCCACAACTGGCTGTGTGAGATGTTATTTTATTTAACAAAGGAAAAAGCTTCCTTGGGACTACTGATGGCTTTGCGGTTGATTCCACTTATTGCTCTTGCAGAGAACCTGTGTTCAGTTCCTAGCACCCACAACTGGTGGATCACAATCAACCGTAACTCTCACTCCAGGAGATCTGATGCCCTTTTTGGACTTCAGGGACTTTACATACAAACACACACACATTTTTTTTTAAATGATAAAAACAAATCTTTACAAATTAGCTTTCCATTTCCTTTGATTCTATGCCGTGAGAATGTTTGGTAACTACTGACCTCAGTGACCTACAGTCCTAACCTGAGGTTACAGTTCAGAAGAGTCAAGTATCAGTCACCTTTGCTATTCATAGTCCCACCACACAAACCACTTCTCTTTTGTTTCTTTGATCTTCAAAAAGAATGCTTTCTTTTCTTCTTCCTCTTCTACAGAGCTTTTCTGTGCAGCCCTGGTTGACCTGAAACTCACTAGCAGACCAGGCTGGCCTCGAACTTGGAGATCTGCTGGCCTCTGCCTCCTGAGTGCTAGGGTTGAATACCTGCACCACCACTGTCTGATTCAAGATTGCTTTCTTATTTTTCACCTGAAACTCCTAGTTCCTCAGCCTTCTCCTTTCACTTTTCCCTTACTTGGGTAAGGGTCCAAAGTCCTTGATTTCAGGGTGATCTATCCCTCTGGTGTCTCCATTTCTATGAGTTCTGTGGCTTGACAAACTTTTTTGTGTCTGCTTGGCTTTGGTTCTTTAGCATTCTCTCTCTCTCTCTCTCTCTCTCTCTCTCTCTCTCTCTCTCTC